GGGATGTCAGCAAGCCCAGATGCAATCAACAGGTTGCCGACCCCAGGCATGCAGTTTCCCGATTTGAGGTCAAGGGCCACATCAGAGGCTCCGAGGGCCAGGGGTTGAGCACCCCTGCATAATTGCAATTACATTCATGTAGGACATTACAGATTACCTTTATGTGGTTTTGCCAGTACTGGTGTTGTTTGTTGTTTTCTATTGCCCAGCAAGAATATAATTCTATTATTTATCTCCCTTCTTATCAGAGGTGGACAAGATTTTCAGTTTACCTTTCAACTTGCCTAATATGTTCTTTAGCCCATCCCTTAACTAGCATCTGTCAGAAAGTAAAATGATGGTTGCTAATGAGATGGTGACATGGCTTTATCTATAGTAGGAAGCAGTAATAGCTGCTCAGAAGCTCTGCCCATTAAGTACATTCAATTAAAGTGGTAGTAAGCTCTTTGGGCCCCTTCACACAGGCGGTCCGATTGGGTCCGCCTGTCCATTTTTCAGGCAGGGCCGATCAGACCATCCATTGTTCTCAATGTGGAGGCAGATGTAAATGGACATGTGTCAAATTACACTCTCCTGCATCCAATCAGATCCAGTCTGCAAAAAACAAACAGATAGGGATCCGTTCTCCAACCATGTAGCGGATCAGATCAGATTGGACGACAGTCAGATATAAATGAACAGGCGCTGCACAAGCGGAGCAGGTATGGACCTGTCAGCTGCCTGCTCAGCTAGTATCAACAGACAGATCCCCCTCTGAGCAGGCAGATCTGCTTGGTGGAGTCCACCCCTGTGAAAGGGCCCATATACCCAGTAAAGTGACTGGGCTCAGGTGATGCAGAGAGATGAAACAAATGCTCCTACTACAAGTTGTACCTGTTTATCTGCAGTATCTCTTCTCTACAAAGTCCAGAATGTATAAAATGTGTCTGAGCTTCTATAAAACGGGGTGAGGAGCTAAAATGACACACTGAAGAGCACAGTGAGCAGAGCTGACTGGAGGGAAGCGACACCCCCTTCACAAAAAAACTGAAGCTGTCAATCATATGCTGTGTGCTGGAGCTCCTCCCACGTCATCTTTTTTCTCTTGGTGTCGGGAAAACTTGTCAGAAGTGATTCATGCTGATAACAGAGGAACAAAGCAGCAGACAGAAATTACATTTTGTGCTCCAGATTGAGACAGTAGAGGGATATACTTTGTTTATATTTCATGGCTGAGGTTTACAAACAATTTAATACATCATCACAGGTTTCTGCCTGCAAAAACACAAAGATCCACAAACCATATCCACCTCCAAAAATCATTGGATCAGATGAGTTACCATCCAATGTGCAAATGCATGTATGCTGACTCTGGGCAAGCATATAGTTAATTTTATAAAATATATTCTGTGTATTTAAAGAAGACTTGGAGGCATGGTATATTTTTACATACTTACATAGTTACTAGTTAATATATTTACAATATGTATATACTGTACCTGGCTGTTAACACTGGAAGGTGGAAATCACTGAAGTAGACACTGCTACTCCAGTGATGTCCAGTTACTTCTGCTGTACTGAAGTAGCAGCGTCTATTTACAGTAATTGATTTCCAATTTCCAGGGGTATCAGCCAGGTATGGTATATACATAGTGAAAACTATACCTTATGGCACTGCTATAAGCTATTGATATAAGGAAAAGGCTTACCCCACAGGCAAGTGAGAAGAGGGGAGCATGAGTCCGAGTGATTCCAGTGTCAGCCAATACAAGTGAAGGGATGGACGCTGCTCAACTGACTCCAGGAATCCAATGTTGAGGAATGGCCTCAGCCACAGTTCTGGCCACGCCCTCTGATGCATTTCACCCCGTTCATTAGGGCTTGATCACAGAGGTCCTCGCGTCAGAGGGCATGACCAGAGGCTGAGGCCATTACTCAACATTGCACTCCTGGGGTTGGTTGAGCAGAGTCCATCCCTTCACTTGTAATAGTATACACATAGTTTCATTAGTCCAAGATGGACCTGCCGTGTTGACCCTCTGGCTTCAGGTCTTTCTCAATCACTGTTCCAGAGCAAGTATGCATATCAGAAAAGTCAGATTAAATACAGAAGTTGTGATCTACATAGGTTTTTTAGGCTTGGTGACACAAAGGTATCGATGCTAGAGGGTCAGTATAACATCCAAGAAAATTACATCAACAAAGGCAGATATTACGTTTCCAATTGAAATATTTCCTTTATATATTGCAAGTGTGGCTCACTTCACTTGGATAGCTTGGTAATGGCATCACCATCAAGTAAGTTACATACCTTGAGCAAGTGTGCATCCACTGAAGTCTGAAAATCCGGCCTTCATATTAATCCAAGTCAGTTAGTAAAGTTAGGATCTGGATGAAGATCCTGAAGCCTTTAACCCTTTCTCTGCTAGGTCCATATGTCATACGGACCTAACAGCGGTGGGGGGGGGGTGTTTACACTGCAGCCATGAAGATTGTGCATATATCTGACAAGCCGACTTCTGGCTGTCAGGTGAAAGCAGCCCAGTGTCAAAATGCTTTCCCACCTCCTCCCCCATGTGTGCACCCACCATGTATCCTGGGCTCTTCTGCAGGCCTGGGACCAGCCTAACAGGTGCTGCCAGGTAGGGAGGAGGGAGCTACGTGGATACATGTATGTTCTCCTACCCTTTTTATTGCTGACCTGGAAGCCCCAAACTGCCCTTGTCAGTTTCCCTGGCCAGTATGGCCAGGAAAGAATGTAATGCAATGTGATCTGCATTACATTACATTCAGTGGAGCACAGGGGAGACATCCAGGGTTTTGTGACTCAGGATGTCTCATTAAAGTGAACATGTCACCAAAAAATCATCACATGAGGGACTGAAGGGTATATACCGAAGTTTGTTACCATTTCAAGGATGCACACAATCTTTAAGGTTTAACATGTTGGGTATCTGTTTTTTGTTTTTTTTTTGTGCAACCCCATATTTTATATTTTACCAAAAATTGGGTAATTTATTGTGTTTTTTGTGCCCTAAATTTTTTACTGAAATTTTTCATTTCCTAGACCTCTATGGTAATATTACGTGACATAAAAAGTTGGAACTACCACTAATTTTTGGGGGGGTTTATGCAATCTCAGGCCTAAAATGATTTTTTTTAAACATGTGTGCAAAAAATGGCTCTGACAGCGAAAGGGTTAAAGGATAATTACACTTTTGTATAGTTATCGTTAAGTTAAGCCCCTAAAGTTTTATACTCAGCTGTCCACAATCTTGTTGGAGCAGCACTGTGCAAGCCCAAAGAGAGCTGTACAGGCAAAGAAGATTCTAGTGCTGAATTGTTTGTTTTTTTTTATATGTATAGTTTATACAGGGTGAATCACATTGGTGTTAGCTGCTGGAAGAAGATACACTCAGTTGTTTATTGATTCTATTTATTTACGTATTTACCAAAGAACCCTGTATGGTTACATTTTGTTTATATATATTTTGTTGTACAGACAGCACTTCAAACTTTCCATCAGATTCCCTGATTCCATATATAGAGGTAGTATACCCTTGGGATTCTTAATAGACAGCTTCCCTTCGGAATTAGTAGGATTATTCTGCGCGCATGCGCAGAAGTAGCAAGGGTCTAGCAAGAGTGTTTTCAGTTCCCTGTGGGCTGCACCAAAGAGGGAATGCATAAGTATAAATCTATAGGGGGATGCAGGGGAGGAGAAGGCTATGCCATTTTAGGTGACAAAATAATATATCATGGTCTCCTGTGTTAATTTGATTTGCATTTAGTGAAAAAAAAAAAATCATGAACCTGTTTTATATCTAGTAACGCCCTTCAATGAATTTGAATGCTGTGCATTTCTGCTGTGGCCTGTATATGTTTATTTGACATGTCTTTTCTTTAGAAATCCATTGTCCTGTCAGCATTGTTGTCATAAGTAAACTGAGGTGTGTAGGTTTTCCATAAAGATAACATCTAAATTAGTGGGACAGGTGAAAGCCATGTTTAGTGTCCTAATCAAACAAAAAAAAAATACAAAAAGAAAATATAAAAACAAACTTGTAATGGTAATAAGTCATGGCTTGCTAAGCAGTGCTTTGCGTCATATCACATTACATTACTTACTTCTCGCCTCTAATGACCTACACAAAAGGCAGTTTTTTTTTAAATGAGTCAAGACTGGTTTGTAATAAAATTGTGATGGTTTTTATTATTATTATTATTTATTATTATTATACAGTATTTATATAGCGCCAACAGTTTGCTCAGCGCTGTACATTACAAAGGGAGACAGAACATGCGACAGTACAATAACAATACAGTGCGAATACACGAGGGGTTTCTAGGGTTTAGAAGAGATTGGAGTTTAAAATAAATACAGTAAAATAAAACAAGAACAAAACAAAAAATGAGCCCTTTGCTTGGGCAATGGCAAACATCTCCTTACAGCTGACACTTGAGCATGTTTCACGTTTTGTTCAAATGGAACATTTTGTTGCCAGAAAAATATCTAAATGTATCAAGTGATGAATACAGTGTACATTTGCTGGGGAATCCAGTTTTCCTACACATGGGACTGCAAGGGCATTTTGTTAAGTCACTGCTATTTAAAAGATTGAGGATTAACATGGATTCCTCAGTGTTCAGTCTATCTGGTTAGCTTTATAAACTGGGCTGTCCAAGTGAGAGTTTATAGGGCTCTGGAATAACACTGAGCTAATAAAACACTGGTGTTTTAGGGGAACTGTTTAAAGTAGATCTAAACACTAACTGGATGACATTTAGTTTACTAATAAAGCAAAGTGTATCACAAAATACTTTCATCTTGTGGACGGGGCTTACTGCGCCCATGTGGGGACCAGGAGAGAATGTTTCCTAGTGCCCCTAAAGATAGGCTGAGGCTGCCATTTAATGCAAGACTGGAGTTAAGGTAGCACTCCAACTAAAAATGATGGCTTCTCCATAAGAACACAATTAACTCCTTGTAATCCATGGCCCAATCTTCTGCAGCACTTCACATGCTGCTCACTACGAACATCAGTTCCTCACAGGGGCAGACTGACAACTCATGGGGCCCCCGGGCAATAGGGGATCATGGGGCCCCTGTGTCCTTGCCCAAACTCAAAAAAGCCTATTGAATAAAGGTACCAAGGGCATCTCATGGGGCCCTCTACTGACCCCCCCGGGCCCTTGGGCAGTGCCCGAGTTTCCAAATGGTCAGTCCGCCCCTGGTTCCTCATTTACACTTCATAACTCGTTCTCTCACTTTTGCTGTGCAGCATTTCTTATTCGGTACCACTGAGCGTGTACCAGACTCCACCAGCCCATTAGATTGACTTGTGTACAACACCGTTGAATATTCTAAATCCTGAGGCCTCACTCCATCTTCCCTGATTTCCAAGATGCCCCATTCTGTGAGAGAGACCCAATATTGGGGTTCTGATTGCTAGTAAAAGGAGTCTAAGCACACAAGCTCTTCACCACCAGGGCCTTCTAACACCTTTGCCAAGTCACACTGCTTCCTTACCAGTTGGCTACCTATGCATTCAATGCTAGTACTGTAGTCTTAGCAGTGGCAATATAGCCTCGTTCTGAATAGCTTCACTGTACATTATACATTTTCTACTGCATCTTCTCTAACATTTTGTCACTTAACAACCCTGTTCTTGTGATTTGCCATGAATGCATGCCACCACCGCACCCCTCTAAGGTTGTCCTCAAGTAAACTTCAGACCTGGCTAAGTTAGATAACAAATAAATATTATTTGATTGAAGGTTGATAATAAAGATAACAAGTGAACAGTTCAACAAAAATGCCTTCAACACACATTCCTGTACTCTTCTAAGTGCCTGATAATTAGTCCACTGGTGCCCCTGATAGCTCCTTGAGATAGTAATACCTTAAATAGGTGAGAAAGTCCTTAGATACCTTTATTCAAGCATACCGCATACCCCTGGAACCTTGACTGGGCTTCACAAGAGGTAATTAAGTGCACGGCAGTGCATCACATCCTTAGCATCATGTCCTTGGCTGGGGAGACCTGGTGCCGAACCCTCCTGCTGTCTTACTATGTTTTGGTCAAGCATACCGCATACCCCTGGAGACCTTAAATGGGCTTCCACAAGAGGTGGGTTAAGTGCACGGCAGTGCATCACATCCTTAGCATCATGTCCTTCATTGCTGGGGAGACCTGGTGCCGAAACTCCACCAGGTATTATTTAATGAAAGCTGCATAAAAAAAAATACAATAAAAAAAAAAATTATAGCATATAAATAAAAAATTAAAGTTCCAGGTTTGGGGCAAACTGGTTGTTAAAGAGCCAGCAGCTGCAGGTGTCCTACTAACCAGGGAATCATCCCTGCCTGGCCCATTCAGCTTTCAGCCAGGGATTAGTTTGGCGACGAACCAAAGTGAAGGTAGACAAAGAGGAGATGATGCTGTAAAAAAAATAGTTGTTTCCCCACACTAATATTCCTACTAGATCCTTTTAGTTCCAGTATGGATTTTAACGGGGACTTCACGCAAAAAAAAAAGAAAACAAAAAAAAAACAGTATGTGGACCTTCTAATTTCAATATCAGACCCTGGCAGGCCAGGAAGGGATGGGTGCTTCCCCTTCTCCTAAGCCATACAAGGCCACATGACCTCAACATAGGGAGGTCTCCATGTAAATAAAGACAAGGGACAGTGTTGCAGATCCATGTAAAAATTCCTGATGAACGATATTCCCTGACATGCTGAATACAAAACATTTGCAGACACCATTTTAATACATCTGATTCCATTGCTCACTTTAGTCAATATGTGCACTGCCACCTGGCAGTACTATAGGGTTGTTGGTTTGAATCCAAACACACGGCACCACTTGCCTGGGGTTTGCATTTTTCTCCCTGTGCCTGCGTGGGTTTCCTCCCGGGTACTCCAGTTTTCCTCCCCACACTCCAAAAACCTGGTAGGTTAATTGGTTTCTTGTCTAAATTGGCCCTAGCATGGATATGTATGAATCGCTTCTCGGCCTTTTGGCTAAGATCCAAGTATCTGTATACTAAGTATCTGTTCTTATCATTGTCCAGTAGGGGTGCTCCACCATCATTCCTGCTTTGCGGGGATGATTGGTTGTATAGTACCCCTGCTGGTAGGATGGGGGTCCTGATAGTTTAGTACAGCTGGAACAGAAACTGAGGCGGCCACAGGCAGTTGGGGCCCGGGAGTAATTCCCCCCTGGAAAACCAGAGGGGCCCAGTTCCTCCTTGTTGGAACAGGATCTAACCTTGTCTGGCCAGGGGTCGGGGAGGCAGAAAGTCCGCGAAACTGTGAAGTGCCCCCTGAGAGTGGTCACCATTCAGGGGTGCTCCTTGTAACACATGGGGGTGGGGATCCCAAGTGTGTGAAACCGTGCACATGGTCACAAGTTCTAAACACTTTTCCTGCACTTCGCCTTTGAGGGCTAGGCCTTTTGGCTAAGTCCAGGCAATAGATTCTATGCTACAGGCTTCGGGGCCTAGCCAGTGCACAATTGCACGGCCACTTTTTTATTTTTACTTATTTATTTAATTTATTTTTTCTCCCACGTTTGTCACTTTTCACTTATGTTTGTTTGTTTTTTTTTCTCACGGATGGTAGGGTGTGGGCGGTTATCGGCCTACCCTGAAGTTTAGGGGGCCTTTTGGTTCCTTCCTCCCCTGTCCCTAGGGGGTTTTCTCTTTGGGAGAGCCCCCCTTACCAAGTACTTGGTGGCTGCTTATGCTAGCCACAAGGAACGGGGTCGCCAGGCCTTTTTGGCTAGGTTGGACCACATGGGAGCCTTGTCTCTGTCAGGAGCTTTGTGCCCCGGGGGATCAGGGTAGAGATCTGATAAACCACTTTTCGGGGGATGGACAAAGCACACCCCTAAGTGCACTTTTTGTGTGTTGGTTTTTGCACTAGCATGTTTTTTGTTCACTTACGTATATGTATGAATGTGAGTTAGGGACCTTAGATTTTAGGTTCATTGAGGGCAAGGAGTGATGTGAATGTAATACATAAATATGTAAAGTGCTGCATAAATTGACAGCGCTTTATAAGCACCTGTAATAAATAAATAAATATGTGGTGTGTGGTCGCACATTGATATCCGTACCAGATCCTCATCAAAGAGGTTCTGGTATGTATTTTTAGGGAGAACCCTACATCTGTTTTTTTTGTTTAGGGTCCCATTAACACCTAAACCAAACCTTCAACTTGGATAAACAAAGAGATTACAAACAGAGAGAGCTGTTATTTATTGGTGATTTAAACTTCAATTTTTTCTTACAGTATAATTTGTTAGTTTTGCTGTAGCAGGTTGTATACATAATACCAATGTGTCCCACTTCACAATCAAGGTAAAGGCATCTCCCAAACATGTTATTTAACCACCTCTACACTGGGCACTTTCACCCCCTTTCTGCCCAGGCCAATTTCAGCTTTCAGTGCTGTTGCACTTTGAATGATAATTACTACATCATACAACTCTGAGGTATTTACTAAGAGGGCCATTGGCAAGTTTTCTAAAGTTGTAATTTCTTGGAAAATGAAGAAATTAAAATCAAATGTGTTCTCAACCACAAACATGTCATATTAACAAGTTATTTCTCACTCATGGCATAGCATACTTGCAACTACACCCCAAAAACACATTCTGTTACTTCTAAGTATGGTGATACCACATGTGTGAGACTTTTTCACAGCCTAGCCACCCTAGAGAAGGATCAACATGCCCAAAAGGAGAACCTTCAGGCGACTTTAAGACCAGGCCCGCCTTCTGACACTTTTTGTTTAACAAGTAAAAATCAGTATTTTTGCTAGAACTTAGAACTTCCAAACATTATAGATTTTTTAGCAGAGGTCCTAGATAAATAAAATGGTGGGTTTAGCAAAATTTCATATGTCATACAGTATTTGCACAGTGGTTTTTTAATGGCACTGGGAAGGAAGGGGGTTAACATATCTGGGGCGATCAAAAGGCTTTAACTGTGTGCTGCATGCTGTTTTCACTATGTTGGCTTGGGGTGTGTGTGTTTCACTGTACAGCCATGGTTGTATGGCTCTGCTATGCAGAGTCATACAAAGCAGTGTGCAGGAGCAGAAAGGGGAGAGATCTGTGATGTTTTATTACAGGTTCTCTCCCCCATCGGAAATCCTCGGAGATTGCCGGTGCCAGCGGGGAAGTCACCGGCCGGGACCAGCGGGGAATCCGGCCGGGACCTGGTGATTGACAGCCGAGGCCATGAATGGTGGAGCAGGTAGGGCACGTGGCTGAATCACCAAACGAAAATAAAAGAAAAAGCCAGGTAAAAATGGAAACCTAATATAAACCATCACATATAAGAATTGGTAAGATGTACCTTTTTGGCGCCAGGTCCGTATGTCATATGCACCACCTGACAGTGTGGGGAGTTATATACACAATCCGGTGCCTGCAGCGACTGGAATTGTGTATAAAACTGACAGGCAGAAGAAGTCGGGTGGCTATCGCTTCCACAGCCCCTGTACTGGTGCCAAACCCTTCCCCATGCGCACGCTCCCACCATGTATCCAGTGCATCCCGTGGAGCTCCATGTTTGTGTTCTTGCAGGTGTGAAGGGGAAGAAGAGAGTGGATGAATGTGTCCCACGTTCTCCGCTCCCCTATTCTTTCTGTGACTCAGTAGAGGAGACATACAAGGTCTTTTAGACCCTGCCCACAAAAATGTCTCAATATAGAGAACCTGTCACCTGTTAAGAAATCATCATATAGGGGACTTTGGGTGTCCCCTATGTGATGAAAAAAAAAAGTTAAGTAAAACATTTTTTTTATAATGCAAAAAACAGTTACACCCAAGCACATAACATCCCCCCCGCAAAAAAATGTTGAGGACCCCCCCACCCCCACATATATGCATGTACGAATGTAAATGCACACGTCAGGGCACCTACGCATTAAACTGTCAATTGGGATACACATGTTACATATCGCTGAGCACGCCAGAGTGCAAGCAATAATTCTAGCAGAAGATCTCCGTCTCATAACACTTAAACTGCGATGGCCTATAGAAAAATATAGGTTACTGAAGTTTGTCGCCATTTTCATAGCAATGCAAATTTAAGGTTTAGCAGTGACTTGTTGGGTGTATTTTTACTCAGTGCAAGCTCATTCTATATTTTCATCAAAAATTGTGTGGTAATTTATTGCGTTTGTTTGCCCTAAAATTCACTTTAGTGTGTTTTTTTACTGAATCTTTTTAACTTCCTAGAGCTTTGTGGTAATATCCAGTGCCGTAAAAAAAATTGTA